CGAATGCAACAAGAAGAAATCATTAAGAGATAGAAGCAAGGTGATGGTAACTTTATGCCAAACAGTAGTTTTTCGGATGAAAAAATGTATTAAACTTGTAATTATTATTAATTATTTAATTTAGGATTTAATTTTTAATTTGGGTTTACATCGAGTATCAAAAATTAATGAAATCTGAATTTAAGTTGAGTATAGGTACCTAAAAATTATATTCTGTTTCCATTTGTTTAATAACGGTATAGTATTTGTTTTAATTGTGTACCTACACGTAATATAAGTACCAGTTGTTACTTACATGATAATTGAAGAGCATTTCAGTCACTATTTGCCTTTCTTGTTGTCCTAATTGACGAATTAAATTTGTAGTTAAATTGACAGTGTCTAAGTTAATTTCAGCATCAGCTTCATGATGCACGTAATCAAAATCTTCATCTTTTAAACATTTAGCTATGTTATGAAGAACAACGCAGGACATTATTGTCGATGTTTTTTTTTTAATTTATTCCGGATTTTATACTGTAGGACAGGAAATCTTGCTTTCAATTGCCCAAAGCATCGCTCAATTACTACTCGTTCTCGACAAAAAACGTTATTATAATTTTGCTGTTCTGGGGTTGTTGGATTTCTCCAGGGAGTCATAATCCAAGCGGATATAGAATAGCCACCCTAATAATACTTACTCTTCGGTGCTGTTTTTAAGAATGTTGAATATATTGGAATTTTTTAATATTCTGCTGTCATGTACAGAGCCTGGCCATTGACAGTCTACACTTATAAATATTTCTTTGGCATTGCAAGTTGCCTGTATGTTGATGCTAGGATATCCTTTCCTGTTTATATATTCGTCACCGAATTCAGCAAACTTTGGAATCCGGACATGGTTGTCAGACCCTGGCTTTCAAAATGCCGTTGCTGAACAGCTTGGTGTTCACCAGACTACTGTTTGTAAAACATATACTTAAATCCTGAACGCCGTTTTGCAGAAGGCCAACATTTGGATTAAGTTCCCCAAAAGTGCTGAAGACTTTATGGATGCTAAACAACTGTGGTCGGAGAGATAGCGTTTCCAAAATTCTATCGGCGCAATAGATTGTACGCATGTCAGTATTCCATAGTTTGACGAACTCGGTGACGAATATATAAATAGGAAAGGATATCCTAGCATCAACATACAGGCAACTTGCAATGCCACAGAGATACTTACAAGAGTAGACTGTCAATGGTCAGGCTCTGTACAGGACAGCAAAATGTTTAAAAATTCCAATATATTCAACATTCTTAAAAACAGCACCGAAGAATTTGTATTATTAGGGGATGATAGCTATTCTATATCCCCTTGGATTATGACTCCCTAGATAAATCCAACAACCCCAGAACAGCAAAATTATAATAACGTTTTTTGTCGAGAACGAGTAATAATTGAACGATGCTTTGGTCAATTAAAACCAAGATTTCCTGTCCTACAGTATAATATCCGGAATAAATTAGAAAAAATACCATCGACAATAATTTCCTGCGTTGTTCTTCATAACATAGCTAAATGTTTAAATCATGAAGATTTTGATTACGTGCATCATGAAGCTGATGCTGAAATTAACTTAGACACTGTCAATTTAACTACAAATTTAATTCGTCAATTAGGACAACAAAAAAGGCAAATAGTGACTGAAATGCTCTTCAATTATCATGTAAGTAACAACTGGTACTTATATTACGTGTAGGTACACAATTAAAACAAAACAAAAATACTATACCGTTATTAAACAAATGGAAACAGAACAATATAATTCTTAGGTACCTATACTCAACTTAAATTCAGATTTTATTAATTTTTGATACTCGGTGTAAACCCAAATTAAAAATTAAATAATTAATAATAACTACAAGTTGTAATACATTTTTTTCTCCGAAAAACTACTGTTTGGCATAAAGTTACCATCATCTTGCTTCTATCTCTTAATGATTTCTTCTTGTTGCATTCGACATAATTTCAACTGCTCTAATAGAACTAATCGCTGCAACTCAGCAGTTGATAATTTTTGGATTTCTTCAGTTTCTGGTAAATGTGACATCTTAATTTTCTTTGCAGGAATAATAATTTCTTTTGCACTTGAGGGGGCCAGAGTATCACTGATGGCCGAGATGGGGGATTCAGCAAGTGTTATGCTTTCGTTGGCTCCAACAGACACAGCACCTGAATGATTTATTTTGATGTTTAAAAAAAACCTACGATACAATAAAGTTTAATTTGCTTTCCCTGGTATTTTTTTGAAGATGGGATTCTTATGAACTTCCAACATTTCCATTAACAACTTTTCCCAAGACTTATAGCTTTATTGCCTGTCTTATTAATACCAAATTTCTTCTTTATTTCGGTCTTCATATTACTTATTTTTTTGCTAACTGCTATGTTGTAAGTGTCGCGTTAAAATATCTTTATATTGTTGTACTAAAATTTTTTAAGCGGCCTCCTTTTCTATTTTAACTTGTGGAACTTGCGATTTATTAAGAACGATTTTATGTTCTTTTAATTTATTTACAAATAACAACTGCTTATCCATTTCTTCCTCATCATGGGATTCGTCACTTGAATCAGCCATAATTTTCACTGTCTTTTTTATTTTTTACCGAAAAATATGTTCCTAATCCCACATACTAAGTTATGCCGAATGTAAGAAACTCGGAACTAAACTGAAATAAATGCGCGTATCGACTCATAAACATACTTGCAAGTCTAAACGTGTTGAACACATACGTATATAAGCAATTGCTTTTAAGATTCGGGAAATGCAGCATTTGCTTAAAAATATTATTCATTGCAAAACTTAGCAATTGCTCTTCCTTACAGCAATTGCTAGTTAAGCAATTCCTTTGCGAAAAAGTAATTGCTTAGTTTTTATCCATTAGGCTCAATGCCAGACCGCATGTTGCCAGAGCATCGTTAGTCTTCATGGATCAACATCGCATCAACCGTTTACCTTGGCCACCACGATCGACTGACCTATCTCCAACTGAACATGTTTGGGACATGATAGGTCGCAGGCTCTTGAATATGCAACGCCCTCCATAGACTTTAGCAGTTCTTACTCTCGAAGTTGCAGTAGCCTGGAATCAGATACCCCAATGATATCGACCACCCTATCAGCACGATGCCCAGGCGTGTCAATAAGTGTATACGAAATCGTGGATCCTCAAGATATTATTGAACCAGCTTCTGCAGTCAGTCGACGAATCAAGCTGAATATTTTACCAGTAAGGGACACTGAACATATATGCCAAAAACTATTAAAATGAGATAAACATACGTAGGTGCTTACCTTTTTTGTCACTCGGTATATACCTACCATTTTCTCGTAAATAAAATGGCAGATTTGTGCACCTCCTTAGCCGCCCTTTAAATTCGCCTTTGACTGTCCGCTAAGTTTTTCCGAAATGCTGTCTCGATCTTGTCAATCGTCCGGCAACTTCAAATAAATCTGCAGTCGACAGATCCAATTTGACTCTTGCAGATGATTAAAACGAGAAAGTTTTGTATAGTGTTTATTCAACACAAATTGCGCTTAATGCAACATCTGAAACTTACACTGTGGACCTCTTACTGAGGTGTGCTTCTAAATTACTTGATAATGTTATTCTGTACACAGTAATGGAATGTAGATTGACAGATCAAAATTTACTCTAAAATACTGAGAAACTTTATTTTTAGAAGACCAAAATGTAATGACGCTTGATGACAGCCTACTAATTTCTAACTACGTGTTCAGCGACCATTGTATCTGATATAAGAAACGCTATTGATATGAGGTAACCCATTAATCATGAAGAATATATACACGGTATTCATTTGAAAACTCCATCACGGCTATATCGAAAACCACCGATTAAAAGAAAAACGCCAAGACACGTCAAAAAATTTGTCAAGGGGACACAATATATCCTTTCACCCTCGACCCCCAAGGGTCCTTCCCTTAAACATTCTAAATGACATGGAGAATCGAGTAATAGCTTGTTTGAAGGTCCTTCAAAGTCTTTGCTCTTGACGTTTGATTTTCTAATATCAGTCGACTCGTTTTCGGGAAGATTAGAAAAAAAATTGTCTTAATTTGTTCAGATTGAAAACAAAAACACACGAAATCATCAATTTTATTTCAATATGTGTTCAAAATGTTGCCCGTTAGGGTTTGCCAAATCTAGTATTGACGACCTTGGAGCAAAGTCCCTATTACAAAATTGTTGGGAAATTAAACTGCGCAGTATAGTACAGTATGGTTATTATTGATCAGAATAATTTTTTATGTATATTCATAGTTCTTATGGACACTACTACTCAGATTTTAAGAATTGTTTTCAAAAAACAAAGGAGAGGGAAACTTTTGAAGATTTAGACATGTCCGAGTCTTGCCCCAAGTAATACAATTTCTATCTAAAATAATACAATAAGATCATAAAAATATCTTTTAATTTAATATTAATAACCAATCAAACGGTAATTATGTAAAAGAAGAGACTGACCCATAGGCGGGTTCTTCTGAATTCTCAATATTTTCAAGATTTTCTTCCCCATCAATATCGCCCAATATTTCATTGTAGTACCAATGGTCAGCTTTTGGAACATATTTCTGCACTAAAACCCTGACATCTTTTACTTTTTTCTCGTTGATTTTGAGGGGATAAGACTGGTGCATTTTATCATTTGGTAATGACAAGACGCTATTCGGTTTTTTAGCAGAAAATTTGTTGTATGTTGGAATAACTGTCGATTCACTGCATTCAATACAGTTGTTGCCTTTTTCATATTTAAATAATCTGTAAGTTGAGATACCAAACTTGTAGGTTTTGTTTGTGCTAGAATATGAAGGGGCTTAAAATGCTCGCTGAAATCCTTTAAAATATCCTGGGTTACATCAACGACGCGAAACTTTTTTGATGTTCTACGAACCAAATCTTTCCACTCTTGAGGTACGTATACTCGTTCTGTTCTCCTTTTTACTTTTTCCCAGAAGAACGGTCACATAGTGAAAAGCTATGCCCTGGTTCAGAATATTGGTGGATAATCAGGCAAATGTTTACGGTGTTTACCAAGGTAAATAAATTTTTAGTCATCGTGTGATTTTTGTTCTGAGCAAATGCATTGTCAGAAAAAAGATTAATCGTGGTTACAGATTCAGACAAATATGAAGTTATGAAATGGTGCAGGAAGCTTATAACTTCATTACTACCTTTTTTGATGTTCCTTCATCATACATATAAAATTTTGAAAATCCTGATTTTGCAGAAGTAATACAAAAGTTATATTGCCACAGCTGACGTCTGTAAAATACATCTCCGGACGGAACATGTGGCAGCGGTAAATTTTGCTGGTAGTCAAAACATAAAACGTCTACTGTTTCATCATTTTTAGCAACTTCTGTTTTCTCCCTCGTTACTGTGCAGATTTCTTTGGCGGGAGGCGTTGATCGTGCTATGTCCCCACCATATTATTCAAACTTTTGGAGCGAAATTCAGACAAGTCCAAGGCTAACGAGACTTGGCCGCTTTTTGCTCCAAAATATGTAGTCGACTATGTCCAAATATCTCAAAGTTACGTTAATATACTTCGGACATGTACGATTTTTGCAGCAATCGATGCGCCTTCCCTTGGAGCATAGAACTACGTGAAAATGTCACTTTCGCTGAAAAGTGGACATGTCCGGTTTTTGCTCCAAGGTCTTCAATTCGTTTATAATTTAAAACGGAAACTACCAACATAAACACCAATTCGGAAGATTAGACGTGGCAACAACCAAATAACAACCCGAATTTTTTTCCGCATTTTTTCCATCAATACAGATATCCTGAGCGAACTGTATTTATTGGTTTACCTGTTTAGTTATAGAAACAATCTAATTTGCTGTGACAATCTTGGGATAGTGAAAATTAATTGATTGATTCAGATTCTACTTCCAGTTGCTGTTTTGAATGCACCAGTCACGGCACCTACACTGATTGCTCCGAAAATGCCGAACGACTTCCGAAACTCAAAAACTGACCCAGAACTGTTGTCGCAACATACCGCAATTTTATGGAACTTTCCACTCTTGGTTATTTATCTGCAATGTTCATAGATCAAAAATGCGAGAAGTAGTTCTTCGACACCTTAGTGTACCATATTGTCTTGTGAGAAAATAATATAAGACAGTTTGACCTTGGGGTGGCGGAGCAAAGCATCTGCGCATTTGGACTTCAATAAACTGAGCCAAAAGCGAAATCCCGACATAGGAAATCAAAAGCGTTTATCCCTCTTCCTTTTCACATCGGAAAATGGTTGATTGTCGAACAAAAAGCAATACTTGCGTCAAACTTTTATTGCCACATTTTCCGAAAAGTGGGTCTTACTTAAAATTAGTATTGCTTTTGAATAGATTATTTGGTGGTGCAGAAGTACTCGATACACTGAAAATCATTTGCGGGGACATTCTTCAGTTTCGGAGAAAGAAATATCTCACTGGGACGCAGTTCAGGTAGAAAGAGTGACTGAGGAACCTCAGGAGTGCCTTTTGAAGTGAAAATTTCCGTGGCGCTGTGTCACTTGGAGCAATATATGGTCTCACAGGAATGCCCCTTTATAACAGTTTCCCCCTGTACTCACGCGGGAACTAAAATTGATCCGAATCATACATTGACAGATGCGGAACGTTTGCAAAACTCCATATGGCGTATGCCCTGCATTGCGGACTAATGATAATGAAATAATGAATAGATAACATCATGGAAATTAAATCGGCAGCTATTTTGCCGATTAAACTAATTCAGCGCATAATTATCTACATATAAACACGATTACATCTTGCTGCATGCAAAATGTGTCCGGGTGGATATGACACAATTCGTTAACGGTCAAATGTCAGCCGTCATGAACCGCAAGTCGATCGGTATCTGCGACATTCATTTCAAATATTTATAATTTGAAGCTACAGACACCACTTGTGAACTATAGTTCAGTCAACAAAACCAAAAATTTCACACCTAAATCAGTACTGTATACACCTTTCATTCCATATCTATTATTTTCAATTTTTGGGTATGCTATCATATTTATGATGAATTTGGAAACAGTGTATGTTTTGTGGTTAGTTAACATATTTTGACCGTCATTATACTCTAAGGCTTTTGTAAATTGTTTATTTATCCAGCGTTCATGATTATACAATATTTATATTATATAAATACAGAGCACCAGTGTTCACGCATCAGTTGGATTTTACGGATACAAAATAAAATATGCGCACAAATATTTAAATGCAAAACTGCAAAGCCCGCGGCTTTTAAATAATGAATACGTGAGTATTGAATATGAAAATATGAATATTAGTCAAACGGTATAGGAGAGAAGGGAGGAGAGTATATCGTTATGTTTCTATTAATTTTGAAGTTTGATATCGATAATAATTGTGGTTACTTGTTCGGAACCATTCCAATATGGTCGTTTCGTCCATGTCCTCCTCCCCTTTGATTTTTTGAACGGATCAATTCAAAAAATTAAAACTTGAGGTAATGAAATTGATGCATGGATAACATATTTTAGAGTAAAATTGACAAATGGAAACGTCAAGATGGCCGCTGGGCGCCATCTTGAAAACAAAATTATATAAAAACGGGGGACACCGTTTTGAAGCTCCTGACGAGTACTTTATAACCCTAGAATATGAAGTCAATACCTTTACCTGCTACAAAATGGTGGTACATTTAATAATTACTTGAACACAAACCCACTAACATGCATATCTCTACAAATAATTGTAATTCCCTGCCGTATCCACAGCAACAGTGATAAAACCTTGCTTTGTTATATTTTGTAGACAGTGACAAGAATATCAGTACGACAATAAACATCATTGTACAGTTAAAATCTTGTTATTTAGTTTTCGGTTTTAAAAGGATTTTTAATGATCGTTTCCCGAATCGTCCTATCTGTAGAAAATGTTTAAAGGAACTAAATTTACAGCTACTGGTAGTGTAAACAACAAAAAGCCCCCAGGTAATCCGACCATCCCTGAAGAAAAGCAAGTTCAAATAATTGATGACCTCATAGTAAATCCCCAACAGTCTACTTCCTCCATCGCGAATGTATGTGAGGTTTGTCCTTCTACTGTATGGAGACTTTTGAAAAAGAATAAGTATCACCCATACAAAATTCAAATGGTAGATCAGCTAACTGAAGATGACCCTGAACGTGGAACAGAATTCTGCGAGACTATGACGGAAACCATTGCACGGCATCCTACCTATATCCAAAATATTTGTCTTAGTGATGAATTACATTTTTTCTCAATGGGAGTGTCCATAGACCAAATTGTCGTTATTGGAGTGACACCAATCCTCACGTCTTCCGGGAAACTCATATTCGATATCCACAAAAAATTAACGTTTGCGCTGAGATATTGGGAAATCACATTGTGGGGCTCTATTCACCGAACTTCAACCGAGAAACTGTATTTGGATATGCTGGAAAATACTGTTGACCCTCTAATCACCGAAATCTTCGAAGCGAATCCTAATGAATTCGATATTGATACTGTATTCCAGAAAAATGGTGCTCCACCACACTACCACAGACAAGTCAGGAATTATTTAGATAACAATTCTCCTTGTGGTTGAATTGGCCGTCGAGGTCCTTTGGAATGACCAGCTCGCTCGCCAGATTTGACACCTTTAGATTTTTTTATGGGGCTATTTGAAGCAAAAGGTGTACGAAACTGAACCTGCTTCAATATTTGTAGAAATGTCGATGTTACCATGTTGGAAAACGTTCGACGCGAAATTACGGAGCGGCTTTTATTGTGTCAAGAAGTTCAAGGCAACCATTTCCAGCATCTTCTAAACTGAACTCAACGTATTTTATTCGAATTATCAAGTTAAATGTCAATGTATTCAGGTAGTTATTAAATGTCCCACCATTTTGTAGTAGGTAAAGGTATAGACTTCATATTCTAGGGTTATAAAGCACCCGTCAGGAGCTTTAAAATGATGTGCCACAAGACCCCCGTTTTCATATATTTTTTTTCCAAGATGGCGCCTAGCGGCCATCTTGCCATTTTCATCGGTCAATTTTACTCTAAAATATGGTATCCACGCATCAATGTTATTACCTAAAGTTTCAATTTTTTGAATTGATCCGTTCAAAAAATCAAAGGGGAGGGGGACATTAAAGAAAACCACTGTATGTATACAGAGTGATTTAGAAAATCGTAGCAATATTCCTGAGCTAGAAAGTAGGTCAAAAAGTTCGTTTAAACGTTGGTCCTTGCACCCTTACCGGGAAATAAGATCTTGAAGTTTTAGTTTTGAAATAGAAAAATAAATTACATCTTCGGAGTGTTTAAGACATGATTTTGAGTTTTTGTGCATGTAGTACTGACCGCATAGCCAATATGTATATACAAATATTTTCGTGTTTGAGACTACACCAGTGGCGTAGGAATTGGGAAATGTTGGCCAGACCAGGAGAACAAAGATGCCTATTCTTTGCGACTTTTTAAAAACATACAATATATGGCAGGATATTTTTGTCAGACTACTTTACCAGTCGTGAAGCGAGTTGATATTGGGCAAGGTGAGAGTGACAAATATATATCAAGGAACTAGCAGTAGGCTCCTGCTTGCTCGGCTGTACATGCACATGGACACGAACACATATGTACGACGCAGAGTAGATGGCTAATACTTTTGGTGTGAAAACTTGAGGGAATGCTTGTCACGTACCAAAATCACGTAACTTTTTTTCACTGCTTTGATCACTTACCAGTAATTTGAATGTCTCTCTATTAATGGCAGAGTGCCGATTCCTAGCCCAAACCCTCATTAATGATTATTTTTTGGCAAATTCCATAGTTTATCGATTGTATAATTTTACACGTACACGTCTGTCTTCCTCAGCGACTCAGTATTGTGTTTTGAATCTTTTGGACACTAATGTTACCGTATTATTAATGACTCTCTCAGAAATTTCCTCATGAAACATCTTTGCTTCCTCGTAGTTGGTTACCTAGTGTCCGCCCATTGCTAATCAGCAGAACACTTCATAGTTTTTCTCCGTTATTTGGTTTCCTAGCGAACATATCTTCTTCAAGGCCACTCATTGAATCTTCTTTTATAAAGTTAGGTGTCTCGAGTCAGTCACTTACCTGCTGATGGGCGTCGTTTGTTTAACTTTCAGATTCTGGGATATTAGACACCCAAACACCAGTGTATGGTGATTACCCCTTTATTTTTTTCCTTAACGTTTAGCTGTTTTGGTTTGGGTGCCGCTCCGTCCATTTTCTTATGGGATTTCAACCCTCAGCGGTAAGTTCTTTTTTTTATGCCATCGGACTACGAGCATTAATGAATGTCCTGAGGAATATATGCTTCCTTTTAGTGGGAAGGCATTGCGGAGAACCACCCTTCACACTCGTCCAGGTTTGTTTTGTAGCTGCCTCATGTGAACAGGGAAAACATCATTCATAATAAAGAGGAATTCAAATAACTGCTAAGTGATCAAAATAATAAAAAAAGCTTACGTGATTTTGGCACATGACATGCTACCCATCATGAAAGAATGCTGCAATCATTACAATGGTGGAATATCTGGTAAATGACTGAGTGGTGGTAGTGGGAATGATGCATCTCGAGAATCTCACACTTCGGGCAGGAAAGGCCGACAGGGCAAAACTGTGTGACTTTTTTGCTTGAGAGTGGGTAGAGAAGGTTTCCCCGACAAAAAAAGTCTATCCAGATAATCCAGCCAAAATTAGGGTCACTGCTTTAGATTGGGCTAAAGACTGAAGACAAGTAATGCATTCTTGAGCTAGAGGTGAACTTGCCGTCGGTGATGCTACTGCATTCAGGGTTGCTCGACTATAGCAGCATATGAATACGCTCTGCTCGGTTGCTCTGTTGAAGCTCCTCTAGATATGCCACAACCAAGATGGCTAACGTCTACCTGGAAAACTTTTTGATTTTGTTCCCGAGTAAGGAGCAGAACTAAAAGCTTTGATTAACTCATCTAATATACTGAATTAACTAGCTTATTATTTTTTTGGGTCATTGTTGTTTAGTTTGTATTTTATTTTCATATTACCAAAATAAACCTGACTAATTTTAATTAATGATATTTCTGTGAACAATGGATTTCAGTCATATGATATTTCTGACCTGAAGGGGTAGAAAAACAGAGTAAACATCGTTTTTTACTACTCTGCTTTCCAACCGGTGCCGTTAGCTTTTTATCTAGTAATTATGCCACAGAGAGCTGCCCATTCGGGATTTATCAGGCTCGGCAATTATGACAATACGTTGTGCGTATCTGTTTGTTAACAAAAACGCTGAGTATATCAGTGGCGTAGGTAGACAAGAGTCGTGAAGAAACGCAATACACACTGCCATAGTTGAACAGAAACGGTCGAGGGAGAATTTATAATGAGTATTCTGGGAGAGTCTCACGTTTTGTACAGACAAGTCCAATTTTGACAATACGTTGTGCATATTTGTTCGCTAACATTTCTCATGGTTTGAAGTTGTCGGGTCA